GCAGCACTTGCATCTAATCACAGGAGCGCAAAACAAAGCTATGACTCCTCCTGTGACTGCAGCAGAGATAAAAACAATAATGTACAGCCTGTGACATCAGCAGAAACAGTCCTACCCATCCATGTAAAACCAGCGTCTGTACATAGATAAACTTCAAACACTCTTTGATTACATGTCTGAGTGATAATGTTTCTGGTGATAGTCCACGAATTCCAGTCGTACTTACATGTACAGCTCTGTTATCCAAACGATGAGAAATGAAAAACTGCTTATCAGTTAAGAGACAGATGCTTTATTATGTTTCTCTGACAATCATTGTGGGTCGGTGTTGGTGGAAGGTCAAAAAAAGCTGCACTCAAAAACTTGATTAAGTTAACCATTTAAGTTAAATATTTATTTTGAAGGTGACATTTTAATTTTTAGTTGTTAACCATGATCTGTGCACAGGGTGAATAAAACAAGAGACGCAAGACAATCATCACCTTAGTGAACCCTGTCCCACTTACACAATGACTCCATTAGACGGCACAATATGGTGTTTCAAACATTTTTTAAAAGGACTGGCGGAGAGTCCGTATGATTGAGTGACTCACAGGGCAAAGTCTACAACCTAGGTCTACGTAATATGTGTGATTCATCAAATTACCACAAAGTATTTAATCATTACCGACGTTTTGTTTGTTTGTTTTTTTTTCATTTTAGGCCCTGGGGCCTAGTAGAAGGTTAATCCAGTTCCCCAATGAGCCGCTGGCCTTTTTCTGATTCAGATACAACAGAAGAAAACTAAAGTATCTCATGAGTGTCACTTAAGGTCAGAAGTTAGATATTTAGATGTGCCATACCACAGCCAGCTCCACCCACAAGCTTAGTAGATGGATAAGTGAATATTAAAGACTGTAAAACTGACACAAACATCTTTCAACCATTTTACACAGCGATGCTCAACTTACGGTCGGCGGGTCTATTTTCTTATTCACAGTGAAAACAAATTGATTCATTTTTTTCCCACACATTTTTTTTTTACTTTGAATGTAAATAAGGTGCCAGAGTGCATAAAAAGAATACAAATTGATGTTTTTTATAAAACAGAAAGTGCCAGAGAAGGATCCCCTTAACACCCCCTTCTTTATATATTAATTTTAATGATTCTAATTATTTATGTTTGTCATTTTGCAGAAGTGGCCCCCAGTCAAAGCAAGGCGAGTATCCCTGGTGTAACGTCAAAGAGATCCACCAGAGGGTGCTGCAGCTCCCTAACAGGCCACAGCTGGACCAGGATTTGACAGAGAGATACCATAATCTAAAATGGGATACCTGAGTAGACTACCTGACCTCAGTTGAGTTAACGTGCACATATAATTCTTCATCGGTGAAATTCTGTTTGACATGTTCCTTTATCCATATTTTAATTCAAAGAAAAAATACAAAACATACAGTAAAAGGATGCGCATATAGTAGACAATAATAAGTGCAACTTAAGTTAAATTCACACGAGATACTATAGGTCACCCGCTGCAATAAATCAGAAGTTGCAGTTTATAATCTTCTTTATTCGATCAGTGTCTCTGATAGTAACATACTTCTGTAAAGGGGTGTGGACTTGAGTAACATGACCTGGACTTAAGCCAGACTCCAGTCACAAATTAAATTACTTTTAGACAAAATCCAAAAAAGACGCAGCGTGACTTGGACTTTAACACCAATGACTCTCAGCCCAAAAATTAGACAGTGTGTTGTTGAAAAAGTGCGCCACAAATCAATTCATTTCCTGAATCAACTAACATTAACGTTAATCTTTCTATTTCATTTAGACATAAAACATGCCACAACATGAAACATCACTTTAAGGTTACAACAGTCTTAGAATAAATGCCTTACAAATTTGGGAAGAGGAAGTTATAGACCTTTTTTTATATGAGACAAGTTAAATACAACAAAACACGACAGAAACATGCAGAAGTTAAAAGTGCAGTGTCAGCACTACTGTTTTGTAGATTTAATTCAGTCACATTTGTTTTAACAAATAAATACAAATTTTAGGAATTTATGATTTTTTAATATTTAACATATTATTACTCTGACTTTTTTGGGGACTTGAATGCAAAGACTTGAGCCTAAACAGTGACTTGGCCCCGATTCACCTCTCCTGTATGATGGCACTGCTGTTATTTCTCTGGTCAGGTTGGGCATTCATTATAATACGATGTATCAAACTGTTCTGGGTAATTACTTGGTTTAGAAATTGTACAGACATCACTGTCAGCTAATATCTATAATGCCCCAGTTTACAGTTGCATCTTTTAAAACATTTCAAAACTGTTATTCGTCTTTATTTTGCTCTTCATAGATCATTCTGGGGGAAACCATCCTTCATTCCCTGCATGCATTTCTCTGAACTCTACGGTGGCAGTGTGCAGCCACAGCTCTGCAGCGACCAACTCTAGTTCCAGTGATGGCAGTGTCCAAGAAGAGTGAAAGGTTTCTCGTTACCTAACGCACATTTTAAATAACATTTGATGTCTTTTCAAGGAAACTCCTGCTCTGAACCTGTGATCCTGCAAAGACTGAGTGATGTCACTGTGGGAGACGGCCAAATGAATTCACCTGATCAATTAAGTGAGGTCACAGAGGAGGCAAATGTCTAAGCTTCCCGATCGCTCCTCCCACAGGTTTTTTTTTAAGTATTTGACTAATGAACTTCGACGAAAAGCTTCTCTGGAGAAAAAAGAGTCTTCCAAGAGAGATGTACTCATAAATCGTCATTTCACACGACAGCTTTGAGAGTCATGTGGATAGATCATTTGACAGATCTAGATTTAAAACATAGACACGGGATACTAATTAACTTTTGATATTTTGCCAACATGACCGTGGTTGTTGTTCTGGTTTGAGCTACATGTTAATCATATTTATGGCTAAAATAAACGTCAGAAGTGCTGGTGTCCTGCTGTTGGCACTGTGCAGTGCTGCTGTCTCTGCAGTAGGCCAAGTTGGTTTTTTGCTCAACTGGGATGGCTGTGTGTCTGACCTTGCTTTGAAGTGATCTCTGTTGCTGCCGTTAGCCGTGTCACTAAGAGGCTTGCGGGCAGCAGATCAGTTTAGCACAGCCTCACCTAACTAATCTGATTACTTCAACAAGGCTGCTATCAATGTGCAAAACAGGACAAACAAGAACAAACACATGGTCACACTTTCATACGCAGGGGGACCAGCTTTATACACATAAAGCTCAGCAGAGGTCACTGAAGCAGTGCTGGATGTGTTTGCCTTATCATTTAGGAGAATCTATGTACCTAAATGGGTTTTTGCCCCCTCCCCCCAAAGGCCTACATTCCAGCTGTAGTGAACTGTACATGGTGCCAGGTCAAAAGAGCAACAGCAGGCTTTCAGTAGCTTACCACAAGATATTTTCAGCTCTCGGCTCCTGCTCACACAGATTTCTTATGCCTTTATTAGCATTGCTCCCCGTATGTAAGATACTCCCTTTGACCTTTGCTCTGTGGCTGTTATCTTGTCCAGAATGTAAAGCCAAACGTCAGGAAGCGAGGGAGGCTACGAAGATGCCAGCAGGAGCATGAAGGACATCCTGCTGAGGGAAGTCCCTATTGGTTGATTTTGCTTTTGATAGCCTGACACCCATTAACCGGTATCTAACTGGTGAATTTTTATGACAAAAAAAAAAAAAAAAAAGAAGCAAAATGACGCAAAATAGAAGAGGCACGTCTTTGTAATACGATGCTCCATTGAATCAGTGAAGTTTAGCGCCATATTTCAATGGTATTTTGTGATGTAATTGTCTCGGCTTTAATTTTTATTTTCTGTTGGCTTTGCTGACAAACAGCTTTGCTGCGTTGAAGGGGAACGGCACCTAAATTAAGAATTCCAATATGTTGTTTCCGAGGCTTAGTAAAGTTCAATCAGTATCTGTGAACATGAGCTTCTCTCTCAAAGGCAGAAACCAGAGAAGTAAACTTGGGATTATTTTGGTTTGCACAGTTTCTGGCCATGATAAATGGTGTAAGTTTGACAGTTTTTAAAGAAACATGCCTTCCACACCTGCAATTTTGTAACTGGTCAAAAATATCCTTGGTAGTTTATGGGTTGACGGTTAACTGTTGACATCCCTAACCCTGACTTAGGCTAATTGACCAATCTAATAAAATCGTTTTTTAAACATTCTCTGGTATTTTACCCGTGTTGACATCCACGTTATTGAGAAAAACCAATCCAAGCTTTAATTCCTAAATTATGAGATCCATCACTGGTGTCTGCGGAGAGATTGACCCGAGCACAATTTTCTGTCGTCCGTTAGCAACTTAAGCTACAGCAGTAAGACGAGGTGAGCAGCAGTGCATGAGCAGAGGTCTCAGAGGGATTTGAAATGGAGCAGCAGGGTTATGTGAGGCTACAGTTGCAGGTGCCTTAATCACTGCACCAATTTCAAGCCCAGGTGATTACATACGATTCTGTAATTTAAGGTAGCCATCAGTGATACGTTTGCAATTATTATATTAACATTGCAAAGGTTTTCCTTTTTTTTTGTTGCTTTTTTTATTTTCTTTGCTTTAAGAGTTAAAGTATGGAGTTCCTCGCAGTGCATTATACATGATGAACAGTGAGAGAACAACAGTAATAAGGGTTGAAAGTGAACATTTCTTTCCTTCAAGGTAAAGTTCATGGATTTTGATGAGTGTCTCTATTCTGGCACAAAAAGTCCCATAAACTTCGACCCTCACAAAAGCAAGTGAACGACAAGTTCCTCTAGATCATATCCTTTTTTTATGGTTTTACCAACAAATAAGACAGCAGGTTTGTGATCTGAGGAACTTATTTTTTCGTTTAATAACAATGTGCCTCATCCCCTTGATTACAGACAAGTGGAGGTAGAAGGTGGGACAATAAATCAGAACCACTAGCCGCCATTTTCAGCACAATTCTTCCAAGTTGTGACTGTAGCCATTAAATCCATCAATCAAATCAGTGATACGATGCCCAAGGTTTGAGGATATTTTAAAGCTACATCAGAACCTATGTTTACACACTGTGTAAATGATAGAGAGTGAATATACCTCTACTTTCACCTTCTTTCTCTTGTCCTCCATCCCTCCCCCCACACACACTCTTCCCACACTTCTGTGGATTAAAAGCTAAAGAGGGCTGAGAAGTCAAAGCTCGCCAGTCCTTCCCACTCTTCCCTTTCTTTTACCTGTTACCACTCCACATCTCTCTGCCAATCTATTTTTTACCAATCCAGACGCTGGATCAGGATTGCGTTTCTTCTCACGCACTGGCCTTTGCTATGTGGTTTGGGGTGGGTCCTAGTCCCAAACAGGGAGAGCAAGAGACAACGCTAACGACTGGAAATGAGGAGATTTTTCATTTTCAGTACCGTCTTTAAGGAACATGGATACAAGAGGAGATAATTAAGTTTATTTTGTATTTTTCACGCTATTTGGATTACATATGATATTTTTTCCCAATAAAAGGACAAAGATAACTGCTCCTGCTGTCTACTTCTGTGTACCTAATCCCCCTGGAGTCTGGATGGTGCCATTCAATGACAGCCACCAACACCGACATGGCTCCTACAGTATGTAGACGAACTGCTCCAGGTCAGAACTGTCTCTCATTTAAACTTTAATTTAATTGTCTTGTACTATCAAGGGTAATATAGGTGTAGTTTTTAATGTAAATAATTCATCCATCATACAGTGTCGTTGTAGCCTTGTTCAAATCTGTTTGCAGCAGAGCTCGTCCTGTAAAGGTGCGACTGTTGGAGAACCACAGCTCGTCCACTTTCTTAATAAATTTGTTTTAAAAGTTGCTTCATACAGCATTTTGAATTTTAGATTAACATAATTTGACCTGGTTTTTATTTAAAGCAGCACTTGAGAACAGGGCTAGCATATTAGTCAGTGCGCCTCTTAACCTATTAAGAACCGATAAGCCAATGTCAGCATTAGCCCCTTTAGAAGGCTTGCTGGTCACTGCTTGCTTGCTGCATTTCAGCTTGAAGGCAAAGAATCAAATGAGGCCATGTGGCATTTTGTGCTTTTTAAAAGGAGTTTGGGATCATTTAGAAAAAGTGTCGCCATTGGATTGATGGATGCAAGTTACAGTAAGGTGTACAAAATGATGTGAGTATGAGTTACATGAACAGTAGATGTACTGCACTTTCCCAGAATTACAAAGAGTGTAAATTGTGAATCCAGTTAGAGTAATTGAGTCCAGAGGGACTCAGCACACTCACAGTCATCTGATGTCCATACTGCGACAGAGTGGGGATGAATTGAAAAGTTTGATGCCCACTGTCAGATAATATCTCCTCTGCTGCTTGGTAAACCTTGGGGGTGCAAGTCTTTGGCTCAAGACATGGTTTGTCCACCAAAGAGCACTGACAAGTTCATCTTTACTGTTTGTTTTCACTACGTATGTGTTCATTAAAAAAATATCCCTTTCCTCAAATTCACAAATATTGATATCGGCCTATAAAATCCAGCATCAGTCAGGCCACGAAAGATTGTCAAAAAATTTTGTCCTCCTCTTTCGCTTCACTAGAGGTAATTCTTTCAGTATTTTAAAAGTACATATGTATTTTTAATTGCCTCCATTAACCAGAATTATATAGGTGAAAGATTTTTATGTTGTTATTTTTTTTAACTTAAACAGGAAGCTGTAGTAGGTGTAGCCATTAGTGGGTTGGTCAGGCCTTTGGCTCAGCTATAAATGTCAATGCTTTTGTCATGGGCAGCCATTTTTAGTTTCTGAGCACAGAGTACAGTATTGGCTGGGTTTCCTTATTAGTTATAAACAGTACTTAACAGTAGGATTTCAAAACATTATTGCCAGGGTTACAGTCGATCATGACGATGTCCAATCATGGAGTTGTGTGGTGACAGTACGCAAAGCAAATCCTCTGCTTTGCTTAGTTACAGCAGCCTGGTCTTAATCATTTTTAAAGTCAGTCCAGCTCAGAATACAGATTAGTTAGCATTTATTAGCATGCAATAAATACAATGTGAATTTACTCTCAGTAATAAAGTCTCTAAATTTAGTTAATGTTTGATAATTAATAATTAATGTAACCTGAAATGGCAGTGTAAGCTCCATCATACTGTCATTTTAATCCTGAGCTCCTGAGCAAGTACAGATTTAGACGCTGGTTTCAGGAATCTTAGGGGTGACTGGAGTTGAAGACAAACTGTCCTGAAATGGAAGGCAAACTCAGAAGATTGACTTTAAGGGGAAAGGAGATACCAAGACCAAATGGAGACATCAAGGCCAGATTTAGCGCCACGTTACCTGGCACTTGATTTTTTTAAACTCTGTGGCCCCCGCTGAGCTAATCAGCTTGCCACACACATGGCATTAATTCTTCGAAGAACAGTGCTGGCACTTCGGGCACCATGTCCTCGGTGAGACAGGTGGATGCTGATAAGATTCAACATCACATTCTGTTAAACAAAACAGCTCAACAAGATGCATGTTCAGGTCAGGGATCCTGTCCGTAACCTGGTGAGCCCTTAGGTATCCTTGCTTGTATCCTAGAACTTAGGAAGCAAAAACAGATCACACTGAACTATCAAGCTATACATTTACTAATTGCAGTTTGTTTTTCTTCTTATTCTTCGGAGGCAGTGATGGCTTGGGGTCTTCTCACCGCCTGTCCATTTTTGGACTAAAGGCCTGCTGAGTGCCAAGGGAGACGTCCTATCCACAGAGACAGTCACTGTCACACTACTCATCATAAACTCCCCACTCTCCTTCTGTGTCTAAAGCATCAGAATAGCTGTGTGAGGAAAATGGCAAGTCACAGAGACCCTCGCTTTCTGCACAACCTGTCCTACCACCCGCGATGGCAGCACGACTCAATAAAAGTGAAGAGGAAAGGACATGTGCGGACAGTGGCTGCAAATAGTTGCAGTGGATATAGTCTGTTTAAATCATTAGCAGCTTCATCATCAAAACCACAGTTGCCATCATTCCCTGTGCAACGCTTCAGGAGCTGTGGGAACTGGCTACTTCTGCCCTTTCTCATGCTCACAATTCTGCCCTGTCAAGCCTGGGCGACCACTTTTAAGGTGGCCCTGGTTGGACCCTGGACGTGTGACCTATTATACTCCAAAGCCCTCCCTGATTTGGCAGCCCGCCTGGCCACTGCTCGCATAAACAAGAACCCCTACCTCAACAAAGGCTACTGGTATGACTACACGCTGATCAATGAGGACTGCAAGTCATCCCGCGCCCTAGCTCGCTTTGCTGAGCTGGAAGGTTATGGTGCTGCTTTCCTGGGCCCCGCCAACCCAGGCTACTGTTCCTCAGCTGCTTTGTATGCAAAAGAGTGGGATGCTGGGATCCTTTCCTGGGGCTGCCTCAAACCCAACATGGATAAAGGAGGGATGTATTCCACCTTCCTGCGACCGCTGCCACTGTCCTCCCGTGTACTCTTCACCGTGTTGCAGTACTTTAGTTGGGCCCATGTGGCCATAATCTCAGAGGAGACAGATGTGTGGGAAGCCACAGGACAGGAACTGGCCTCATCACTGAGAGCCCTCGGCCTGCCTGTCAACCCTGTGGTCACTATGGAGTCGGACAAGGACGGACCTAACAGGGCACTGACAAAAGTGCGGGAAGCAGACCGGGTCAGAGGTGAGTTGTAGATGTAAAGATGACTGAAATAAGACCAATTCATGTATTATAACCTCCACACAGTTTTCTTTCACACGAATCATGTAAATAAACCCGTTTTTAATCCCTCCTCTCACCATAGTGGTCATCATGTGCATGCCCTCTGTCCTGATTGGTGGCGAAGCCCAGTACCGGCTTCTGACAACAGCCTTGGCCATGCGAATGATTGACCGTGGCTATGTATTCATCCCCTACGACGCCCTCCTCTATGCGCTGCCCTACAAAGATGCACCATACTATATGCTAGGCAATGACACCAAGCTGCGGAAAGCCTATGATGGGGTCCTCACCATCACTATGGACTCTGGAGAACGCAATTTCTATGAGGCCTTCAGAGACGCTCAAGACAGCTTTGAAATCCGCAGCAGCACCCCACCAGAGCAGGTGAGTGTCTTTATTGTATATTGTAATATTAGAAAATTATAACAGTCAACAGGAAGATGAGACACATCTAAAGGATGGGGAAACAAAAGCACTTAGACAAACATTTTAATTAAATCAAAATGATCACATCACTGTCTTCTCTGCTAGGTTTCCCCATTTTTTGGCTCCATCTACAACATGATATACTACATAGCTATGGCTGCTGAGCAGGCCCGTGCCAAAGGAGGCCGCTGGGTAACTGGTCAGATCCTGGGTAACAGCAAGGGCAGCTTTGAATTCGAAGGCTTCAATCAGCACCTGAGGTCTGGCAGGAACGGTGAAGGCATGCTAGCTCACTATGTAGTGCTGGACTACAGTGGCATGGGCAGCTCTCTCTACTCCACCCAAGTTCTGGAAGCTGCTCATATATATGGCGGAATCGGGGGTTTAAAATACCTCGGTCGTTCGATCCATTTCGCAGGCAGCACGCCCTACACCGACTCAGGCTGCTGGTTTAACCCAAACTTTGCCTGTAGTGGAGGTGAGTGCACCAGTAGTGTCATTACAAGAAATTAATACAAGCTGGTGCGTTGCTGAGTAATTCAGTGTATTCAAACTATCTGTCTTTGTGTTTTTCTTCTCTTCCCAAAGGCCTGGATACAGTCACTCTCTTCTTTCTCTTCCTTCTGTTCGTTGCAATCTTTGCATGTGGACTCTATCTTTTTGTCAATTTCAAGTATGTACAGCAGGATATCAAAGAAAGATTTCATATGCTGGGGTCTTGTGCGATCTTTTGAGAACATTTTTGTTGTTTTTTGGTTGTCTTCTTTGTTTCATAAAGGAGAACGGGCAGGGTTGGGTTCAGCCTTGGAGGTGGTAACGGTGGATCAACGAAGGTAATCCTGACCCTTGACGACCTGGTCTTCATCAACACTCAAATCAGCAAACGGGTCAGTTCTGTGCTCAGTCTCTGACAATACTGACCTACCTCACCTTTGCAAGTATGTGATGTATGAAAGCTGTTTACCTCTGAAAGACTCCAACTAACCTGTCCTCTTTGAACTGTGTGTGTGTGAGCAGAAGCTCAATGATGAAAGTATCCTGAAAAGCCAGCTGGATATGAAGACGCCTCACCACTCGGTATCTGGTCGCAGCTACTTGGCCTCCTCACCAGACAGCTCCAATGTTGCTGTGTTTGAGGTTAGCCTGGCACAATACCGCAATACTCCTGTTATATAGTCCTGTTTATCATTTTGCTGCTCACGCCTCTGGGTGTTTTTGGTTTCAGAAAGACTGTCGTTTTTTCTATACATTCGCAGGGTGACTGGGTGTGGTTGAAGAAATCCCCCACTGGATCTGTGTCAGGTATCAGCAGCAATGCTGAGTATATCTTTATCAGGGTAAGTGAATCTGTGAGTCATTAAATTGATTGATATTCCAGTGTTGCCAAAAAACACAAAATACAGAATGCATCAAATGGAATGACGTTCCTCTTGCAGCATGAAGTTACCTGATGTCTCCATTGTCTTCCCAATCAGCTCAGAGACATGAGGCACGAGAACGTCAATCTATTCCTGGGGCTTTTTTACGACTCTGGGATCTTTGGTGTTGTGACCGAGCACTGCTCCCGTGGCAGCTTGGAGGACCTGCTCAACAATGAGGACGTGCGTCTTGACTGGATGTTCAAGTCTTCCCTTTTAATGGATCTGATTCGGGTAAGAGAGACAAAATGACCAACATGTTTCATTTCCCATCTTGCCACGTTTCCTCATCGCTCACAAGTTTTCGTCAAACTGTTCTCAGGGAATGAAGTACCTGCACAATCGCGACATCGTCCACGGACGGCTGAAATCCCGTAACTGTGTGGTAGACGGGCGCTTTGTGTTGAAGGTGACAGATTATGGATTCAATGAAATTTTGATTGCCCAGAGCATTGACTCCGACGGGGAAAAACCAGAGGGTGAGTTATATGCATTAGTGAGTTTTCTCTCACATATCAATACTCACTGTTTATTTATCATCGTGCATCTTCTTTTTATTGAAGATCTACTTTGGACAGCACCTGAGCTGCTGAGAAGCACCAGTCTGAGAAGGAGGGGAACTTTCGCCGGAGATGTCTACAGTTTCTCCATCATAGGGCAGGAAGTCATCGCTCGCTCTGCACCTTTCTGCATGCTGGACATGCCTCCCAAGGGTGAGTGATATGGAATTAGTGACCCCAAAGGATGGTCACATGAAAAAAAAACGTAAAGTAGTAGGAGGTGATGGGGCAATGTGCAAAAGATTTACTTGTATTTTAAATATTTTTGGCAAATTTGTGAAGGTGCTACGTAAAATGTCCGTCCTGTCCTTTGTGCTCTCACCCTGTGGAGATAACTTATCGTTGCCCTCTGCTCTCATTATACATAATCGTGCCCACTGAGCTAAAAAGAAAATGACAAGTGTTAGAATTGTTGTTGAAAATGCTGCCCAATCCCAAAAAAGATTTTTTGGGGGCATTTTGCCTTTAACTGAAAGGACAGTTAAGTGTGAAGGAGGAGAGTAAGAGGGAACGACATGCAGCAAAGGGCTGCAGGCTGGAGTCGAGTCGAGTCGACGCCCCTGCTTTGTTTAATCACCAACGACATTAATATTTCTTTGACAAAATTGTTTGTGCAAAAACCACATTGGAGGCAATTGCACTGCATTTACGTTGTCTGTTTTTGTTCATATCTGTGTGTGCCTAACATCTGTGTGTTCTTCACTGTGTTGACAGAGATTATCAGCAAGGTCAGAGAGCCTCCTCCCTTGTGTCGGCCTGTCATGTCAGTTGATGAGGCCCCGCTGGAGGTGATACAGGTGTTGAAACAGGCCTGGAGCGAAGAGCCAGAGAAGAGGCCGACCTTTGAGGAGGTCTTCAAACAAGTAAATACACTGAAAACACACGTTGATTCACATCTACTCCACCTAAAATGTTGTTGTTTTAGTGAAAGTAGCAAGTTGGAGATGACATTCCTTTTCCCTCCTTTTCATGTGACAGTTCAAGAGCATCACTAAGGGGAAGAAGACCAACATCATCGACTCTATGCTTCGCATGTTGGAACAGTACTCCTCCAACTTGGAGGATCTGATCAGAGAGAGGACGGAGGAGCTGGAGGTGGAGAGACAGAAGACTGACAGGCTGGTGGCTCAGATGTTGCCCAAGTGAGTGTCCAGAAACTGCGATGTCATGCTCTAAGTCATAGCCACTGGAGGCCTGTAGAGCATCAGCACAGTCTGAGTATTATACTTGAATGATGCTCCTTTTACTTCCTTAGTGAGGTCAAAGGTCAGAGACAGCCTCGCTGAAGCTGGCAGGGATTCAGTGCTCATCCAGCAGGATAGCTGCTCATTGACACACTGGTATGAGATCATCTGCAGAGATTGAAGTTGATATTTCTCACAAACTTTGGAGACCAAAAATGCAGCTGAATCAAGATAAAACAGAAAACATTGTGAGATTCTAATCATTTGTTGTTGTTGTCTCATTAGCTGGAAAACAAAGTTAAAAAGTCAAATTATTATAAAAAATGACACGCATTTGTTTATTTTTCATTAACATCTTTCTTTTGTTTGTCATGTCTCAAAAATTTCTGCCAAAATATGGCTTTAGTTTTGATGCATTTAACAACTGTGGGAATATTTGGTGCGACAACCAGTGATGTGGATGTGATCAGACAATCAATCTTCATCACTGAAATCTGCTTTTGGGTTTTTCTTGTAACCATGTTCTATCACTGAAATTAGTCACGGTCTGTTTCCATCAGAGGGTGTTTAAAAACAAGATATCAGTAATGGGTCAATTTGTCACCCGGCGTCCAAAGAATATAAATGTACAGTGTTGCATGATATGTCTCAGTATGTGCAACACGACAGCCGCCTCAGTTTTGTTTCTTTTTATGATTTATAGTGCATCTGATCACCAAAAATGCTTCTGTCTCAGAGCTTTTCATAGTGTTGGCATCACTTTAATCATATCTTTCTGAATCAAATTTGATCAAATAGAAATAAATGCATTTTAAATCACTGATCTGCCAAGTAGAGGGAGTTTTCCTTTATCAACCACCTGTCTAGTGAGAGGAGAGAGTCACACCATGCTGCCATTGTGTTTCTTCAGTTGTGATTTTAGACGTGTCCCTGTGCCTGTTTGCAATGATCAATAATAATTTGGGAGGAAATCCTGAAATCATCTAATTCATGGGATTAGAAATTGACTGTGGTTGAATGTCTGTAAAAGTTAAAAAGTTGAATCTAAGAAACATGTAAGACAGCAGTCTCTGGTGAGAAGACTTGTTGTTGCCTCAGCACCTCAGATTGTCCTCTCATCATCTTCCCCCTTCAGGTCTGTGGCCCAGGCGCTGAAGACGGGCAAGCCTGTCAAACCCGAGCATTTCAGCGAGGCCACGCTGTACTTCAGTGACATCGTGGGCTTCACCACCATCTCAGCTCTCAGCGAGCCCATCGAGGTGGTCGATTTACTCAACGACCTCTACACACTCTTTGATGCTATCATTGGACTGCATGATGTCTACAAGGTGAGCGTTGCAGGCGCACACAGTGATGAGCACCTGGTTTTTGTATTATTTATTAGTTTTCAGTATTTAAAGTAAAGCAACAGACACTCAATCTTTTGTAGGCTTTATAAATCAGCTTTGGTAGTAATACACCAAGGAGATTTTTCAAATATTATAAATAACTTTTTGTTTTATTCTTAACGAAACTTCATTAAGATTTTGTCTGTTTTTGTTTTCTGTATTTTCTGTGAACGTTTTTTACAAGAATTTGAATTTTCTGTATTGTTAATGTTGCTAAAACATTTCCACTGATTCTAGGAAAGCATTTCCCGCCTCATTTTAACATGTTAAATCTGCTGTTTATCAAGAGAACTTTTTATTTTGGTGGTGGCCAGTTCTTTCAAACTTAGCAGTGTTGAACTAGTGAGAGAAACACTGTGTATGTGCGTGTGTGCCGAACTCCTATTTTTATGTAATTTAGGTGGAAACTATCGGAGATGCCTACATGGTAGCCTCGGGAGTCCCCTCTAGGAACGGCAACCGCCATGCAGCTGAGATGGCCAACATGTCTCTTGACATCCTCCACTGCATTGGTACCTTCAAGATGAGGCACATGCCTGAACTGAAGGTCAGGATCCGTATCGGCCTGCACTCTGGTGAGCAATATGTTCGTGCTTTCTGTGCTGTGCTGCTCTAATCATTATAATGTCCAGTAGTAACGTTGCATGTGGAAAGTTCTTTACCGTGAGAGATTACCTTAAGAGTCACATACATGTGTAATGAGTAATATGGCATGAAATGAACCCAAATTCCAGAGTGAGTAATAGTCAATGTGTTGCAGTGGAATACAGGAGCCCAAGCTGCTAAGGCAAGGAGGTATTTTTACCTCCTTTATCCTCGTCTGGAACTTATCCCTGGAACAGTGAAACGCTATCCACTTAGAGCACTGTCATCCAATTAACACACTGCATACTTTGAATTTCTATTCTATTAATTTCTTTATATACACAGAAGTGCTTTGATGTCATAGTTTTGGGAGACAAAAATCATTTTGAAAACTTCTTCAAAGTCACATCCCACAATGTTTCATTTGACACATGATGTAAGAGATTGCTTGTGAAGGAGAAGCGTCATTGTCAACCCGACTTGTGTGTGTGTGTGTGTGTGTGTGTGTGTGTGTGTGTGTGTGTGTGTGTTCTTTCATGCTATGTTTGCAGGCCCAGTGGTAGCGGGAGTAGTGGGTCTCACAATGCCTCGGTACTGTCTGTTTGGAGACACTGTCAACACAGCATCTCGAATGGAGTCCACGGGGTTGCGTGAGTGTCTCATACATCATTGAATAGGCCAGACAGATCTCCTCTTTCTTAGCTTTTAAAATATTTTTTTTTAAATGGACATGGTGGACGAGAGAACAGGTGTAGCTAGTGTGCCTGCTGCCTGAGGCTAAATGGGGCTTTAAGTGAGCAGTCCTTACTAATCCTTTAAGACTATCAACAGATTTAGAGGCCAATTTGAAGTTTCAGTTTAAATGTCAACATCAATGATAAGTTTGCCTCAGCTGCCCTCTGCATGCGTATAAATGAAGTATGAAATATGAAATGCTAAGTCCACTTTACTGATGTTTTGAAATAAAACAGGAGCTCCCAGAGGATCACATTATCATAAATGAAACTATTAACACTTAAACTGTTTAGAGGAAGTACAGTGAAATACAGTGGTGGAATATAACTAAATACATTTACTCAAGTACTGTATTTAAGTACACATTTGAGATACTCGTACTTTACTGAAGTATTTCCATTTTATGCAGCTCTATACTTCTGCTCCACTTCATCTAACATACAAATGACAGCTTTAGTTACTTTTTAGATTACAGTTTTACATGTTTTCATACTCTCCCTGTGAAAACACATCACATTTTGTGATTTTAAAAGTGATTTTTGTTCTGATAAATTGAAGGATGAAGTGTTCCTTTATTAATTGAGAAATTTCCCCTCCTTCTTAAGCTGAATAAAATCTTGGATCTCTCTTGGATCAGCTGGAAAATGCTTCATCACAAAGCTGAAATCAGGACTGTTTTTCTGACATCACGAAAAGTGGACTTTTTTAGATAAATGGTTCTTACAAGACAGCAATGCTGAAAACTTGTGATGATCTTAAAGGATATCTTCATTGCTGCAGTTTAAACCACCCAACAATGATAATAAAAATCTTTGTTTATAGAGCGCTTTTCAGAAAACAGCATTTCAAAGTGCTTCACAGGCATCAAAATAAAACATACAGGTCATAAAATCATCAGGTTTAGAAAGAAATTCAGTGTGTATAAAATGAGTAAATAGACAGTTCAAAGTAAAGTAGAGCTCAAGAAGAATCAGGAAAGGCTCTCCAATAAAAGTATGTTTTAAGAAGAGACTTAAAAGAGATCACTGACGCGGCTGACCTGATTTCCTCGGGCAGATTGTTCCAGAGCCTTCAGGCCCTAACGTCAAACGCTCTGTCCCCTTATAGGTAGCATTTAAAGGGTTTAAAATTAGTACAGCCTACATATCTGCAGCAGTAAAGTGCAACGTACATATTGATGCAGCAGCAATGTTAATCCAAAAACATCATATATGATAATAAAACACATTTTACTGCACAGGGAATACTTTTAGTACAATGTGCTGATAATACTCACTTTTGTTCAAGTTTTGAATGTAAGACTTAAAACTTAAATGTTTTAAGTAGAGGAGCTGAATGTTTCTTCTTCTTGACTATATTGTGTTTTTGCAATGAGCAGCAAAGCATAAATGTGTAGTCTACTGTCACCAAGTGGCTTAATAACAAAACAACAGTCTGACTTTCTGAGATGCAATCCGAGGGCATAGGTTCAATTTCAACATTGATTTATGGTGGAAATGTCTTTTTACATGTGAAGTAAATCGCAAAGTCAGAGCAATAAGTGATAATTCCAAATATAAATATAATATAAATAGGGTATAATATCTAATATAAATAAAAATCACGTTTGTTCTCGTGTAGATCAGCTTTTGTCATTTAATGTTAACCCTGCTGAGTCGGCACACATGTAGGCATAGTTTACCTTTCAATCCTCCTTTGTGTCTATTGTTTGGAGAAGTAGCATCTTTAGGTGTGCATCTAATCACATCAATGACGCATAAATTCATTTTGATCAATTTATAAACCCCTGGACTTTAGCTCATGCGTGTTTCAGCAATATTTCTGTTCATGTTCAAAACTTTACGCACATTCAGTACATATCCTACATATCTGTGGTCTCTGAGAGGTCCAGAATAAAGTTTTAATATTTTGAGAAAAGTGTTGTGATGATAATTAAGAATTAAGAAAGTAAACTGGTAATTTAACGGGAATAAAGTCCTGAATGTTTAAAAAAAAAATCGACCCTCTCCTGAAGTCTGCTGTGCGTTAAGATGTTGCTCTGCTGATATGGTCGTTTCCCCTTCAGACCATCGGACAGACACTGAATCCCGTGTGACTCTCTCTGGATGAGGCAGATGTGTCCTGCTCGTCATCGAAAGTAGAAAACCAATCTAACTGAAAACACTTCTCATCAAGCATCATATGTGATCGGCCTGTATTGGAAATAAAAGCACTGTCCCTTACTGAATCAATACGGGACACAGTTTGTCCTGTGTTTTCGTGCACAGAACTTATAGAATAAAGATAATTCAAACAAGTTTGCTTAAATATTTGTAAGGAAAATTCTGTACTCTTAAAAAGTTCCAGGGGGACTGGAGATTTTACATGTAGCTACTGACATTGAAGTTGCAGTGTGCAAATATTTTAGATTTTTCTGTGTTTTCTATCACAGCTTACAGAATCCATGTCAACCAAAGCACAGTTGATGTCCTGAACAGCTTGAAGCTGGGATACAAAATTGATGTCCGAGGCATGACAGAGTTAAAGGTAAAATAAATTAAAAACACGTTCATAATATACACAGAAGATATGCAGTGTAGCCACTGCAGCACTGACCTGGTGGTGATAGCTAATGAACGCTGATGATGATTTATTTTTAGGGAAAAGGGATTGAGAACACATACTGGTTGGTAGGAAGAGAGGATTTCAACAAGGCACTGCCTATTCCTCCAGACCTTCAAGGGTAAGAGAACATTTTGGTTACTCCACATACGTGTGATTTAATCTTTGCACTACTTTTTAACCGTAGCACAGCACGGTATGAATGTGATGTGTCCGAGTCACACTGCATAATAACTGTATTTCCTATTACAGGGGGAGCAATCATGGTATCTCTTTAGAGGAGATTCCTCCTGATAGAAGACAAAAATTCCTGGATCGTCAGAAGAAGATGGGCTAGGCTGATTTTTCTTTCTTTTTTTTTTTTTTTTTTACTGATGTCCCAGAATGGAAAGTGATATTTTCTCGCTCAACGTTTTTCAGAGAATACCCTACACATACAGAGATGTGTAGGGGAAAAGCTGAACATGCAACGTCCAACCACCATCATTCGTGCCACGCTCAGTATGAAATCCAGCACCAGCGACAAGGGGATTCACACTTTCTGGAAATCATTTCTATACTAAAATAATCTTTACTGTAGATGAGGCAACTGTCCGTATTGTATTTGTTCAGCAGAAAGCAAAACATGCATACCGAGGTTTAGAGGACAGCAATCGCCTGACAAGAGGGACTATGGATGTGTGTACAGAAACGATCACAGTATCATGTGTGATACCACTGTACTTCATGTACTGTATGTATTTGTACTGATCTTTGTGCTTTGTAGAAACATGGGAGAGATTCTGTCATGAGCATCCCAAGGGTGGAAGCTATTACCGCTCGACTATTCATCTCGGGTATAATGGAGCACTCACTTTAGGAGCAGTAGCCTTTTACAACAATTTAGAATTAATACATTAAAACGTTTTCACAGTAATTTAAGCTTGAAAGCAGCGCAGAGGTCAGTCAGGGTTGAGAGCTCAGGTCATGGAGGGTTCTGATTTTGCTTTTGTGGCAGCGTTACTGTGATTAGTCATTTGATGAATGAAGCCATACAATCCAACAATGGTCCAAATACATCAAACAAAGCGTCCAGTTTTTTTGTTTAGTATTAGAGTTATAGAAATGTAAAAAGCACAATATCCTTTTGAGTACTGGCTCTCCCAACATTTTATCCCATTACTGCGATAGGCCTGTTTGAGGTGATTTAACTGATATTCCTGTTTTCATTCCAACTTATCACTTCCTTTAAGTATATCTAAAGACAATAATGTGCTTTAAGTTTTATTTTAGATGATTTGTTCCAATGGTAATGACAAAGGTACACACTGGGAATGATCTTGGGGCCAAAACATCTGCAGAGCTAGAAATAATGAATAAATTCCAACATGTAATGACACACAATTTTCAGAAACATGCGACAGGACCCACATGATATTGTTCTTTGAAAGATTGACTTATGATGTGCATCTACAGTACGTTTCTCTCCCTAATAACCTCATGATACTACACACAGTTTGTACTGCTTTTTAATGATGTGTGTATTGCTTTTAACATTATGTCGACATTTTCCACCAAATCATAGAAGACGTACGCAACATGCAAACAAGACCCAAACTATCGCTCACTCTGGGTTTCACTGTAGCTTTACCTACAGTACATGTAGCCCATTACTGAAACATGCTGGCTGAATGTATTGTATAACTGTGTGTTTAATAGGACAGCAATAGGAAGACCTGATTTCTGTGACATACAGTATATCTGCTCCGCACTGATATGCACAATGTCTGAGTCAATTGACTGAAATTATTATCTCTTATAATGTGCTTCAGCAGATTGAGCCTTTTCATGTGTATCGCAGTCTTCTAGAGGAAGCCATTATTTTCTTTTTGGGCTCTCCAGGACCCCAAACTGAAACTGTATCTGAAGGTCCTCTGAGAACAAATGTTCGCTAAGTCGCTCCCGTACCCAACCCCAGGGGGTTTAACAGAACATATGGGGGAAGCATGCATGGGAAAAAAGGGGAAGACAAAATCCTCTGAGTCATTTCTCCATGTATATACTGTAAATTTGTACATAGATAGTTTGTCTTTGTGTCCTACAGGGTTAGGGGCTTTTTAGTGGAGTGTTTATTTCTGTTTGGGTTCCCTAAACCTCTGATACAAAAGGAGATATCAAAAAAACATAAGGGTTTAATCACAGTGCATTCAAGAAGCAAGTAACCGCATTATTCTCACTCTCTGTCGGGCTGCTAATTGTCTGCCGCAGCACTGATACTGAAGCAACAATAGGCAGGCAATGTCAGGATGTGATTTTTCCTCCAACAGCTGTTTCAGTCTGCGGACATTTCTTCCTTCAGAGCTCCCTGGCTGACCACTTCCAACATGCTGTCACAGTGGCTCAGCATATGGACCAAAAAATGGACATCTGACGACTTGATTATCAGGTTGCTCGTGATGTGGTTCTTTGACACCAGTGTTTAGCACTGGCTCTTCAGGCACGATTAAACCCTGGACAAAGAGGAAACGCAGAATTCTGAATCAAGACGAAGATCGCAAAAAAGAAAGCTGTCTGAATGTTTCTTTGATGGATGTCTAAAGAACAAAATGAAGTTATTCTGTTGAGTAGGTAGGACCTACTTTTGCTAGATTTTTAATCAATTTGCCAAATAGATTGATCTCATCAAAACTGAATGGACTGTGTTGTTCATTCTGAAAGTGTTCTCAATGTGTTTCTGTAAATAAATTATGGTTTTAGTGAAGACTGTGTCGTCATATGTGTGCTTCATTGCCAACTCTTGGGTCAAGTCTTTATGTGTTGACATGGATGGATTACTGAACGGGCCTACCAGGCATAGGCCCCTGAGTGTCACCTGCAAAATGCCACTCAATTTAACACACACCAGCCAGGAAGAGACTCAAAAAGACCACAAAGAGACACGAAGGAACTACTAAGACACACAAAATTGCTTTAAAGAGACACAAAATGACTGCAAAAAGGAGGGAAACACCCACAGAGAGGAGCAAAGCTGTCAAGAAGGACACAATATTATACAAAATAACTATAAATGAGGCCAAACGATCACAAAGACACAAAAAAATGACAAACAAATCCCTCAAAATGACTTTAAATAGGCACAAAATGACCTCAAAGAGACAAAGAATGACCACAGCACATTAAAAAAAAGAAATGAAAACCATCACAAAGTCTGTGTGTTTTGCTCCTACGTAGGAGAGGTGGTGGGGCCCTTTGCACGTCTGTGCTCAGGGGCCCATTGTCTCATAATCCGCCCATGTGTTAAGACTGTTTTCCCAAATGGTGCCCTGACAGTACGTTAAGTTATAATTCCAAACAAGTACAACAGTAAATCATAAGTTCAATTACAGCCAGTAAATCACGCTTTAAATGTCAGGCATGTTATTTACAGCCTGATTTTTTTGTGAGTTAGTGTATTTTATCTGTCAAAACTGATTCATATTTTTACAATTATAACAAGCTTTAAGCTTTGAAATAGCAGTGTTGTGAATGGACTAAGGATTTGGGAAAAAAAGGGGGTGACGCTTAAAGTATCGGCAACATTGAAGCGCCACATACTTATGAAGAAGAGACAGTAACTCAATGGAAGTCTAATGATTTCACTGTAAATCACCAGGCAAGTTACAGTGATGCTAACAAGCTTTGGGCTGCTTTTACTCTGTTTTCTTCTGTAGTGAAATAACCCTATAAAAATGTAAGGATGGCTTTACATAATGTAACATCTGTGCAATACACTGTACACCATAAACACACTGTGTGCTTTTGTCATAAATTTCATTCTGAATATTTCAAATATTAAATGATTCATGATGCTGACTGAGTGTCTGCTGAAGCACAAAACCCATGGAGCACATGTTAAGTTACACCGTGCATCCTACAACAGACAACAGCTTAAATTAATCATGGATCAAATCACAAGTTTAAAAATGAAGAAAAACAGAACCCTTTTGTGAAAGATAACATTTGCGTCTTTAGGTCTTGAGATCTTAAACTAATCCTTAAATGCTATCATGGAATAACACAAGACAATACATTTAAAGGTGATTTTGTGAAAGGATTAAAATGTTATTGTCCAGATTCTACACATCATGTCTGCACTGCTAGCAGGAATATCTAAAAGTGATAACAGTGCCCTGAGGACAATGTCTGCACAGAAGCAATTCGTATTTCTGCCACTAACAGGGGTTGCTATGAGGACAATTTGATCAGTTTGACAGGTTGCTATGCCAAACCTTTTTTGGCACTTTGGTGGCGTAATCACACCCCTGGGATTTAACCACAGACCGTGTTGTCGACAGTATGAGACACTTTCCTTCTAGACTCATATGTTGTGTGGCTTTTTCTTGCGTAGGGTATAAATGAATTTAAGTTATAGACATGTGCATTATTCAGTAATATTCTTGGTCCTTTAAGTGCCACTGATGCTCCAAACCCTCCAGGTGAGCTATAAACTACAAGAGGCCAATTAACTCAATGTATATTAGAATATAGCCGACTGCTGTGTAAGTTTTACTCATGTTTTTATCACAAATTTAATTGGATTAATGCCACACTGTATGTTATCTTCAGCTCAGCCTGGAATTTCTTTCAAGGGATGGTCAAGACAATCAATTTGCAGCTGCCCAAGGGGTTGTTGAAATATCTTTACATTAATTTAAACGCATGGAACTGAGTAAGAATAATCAGCTAAGTGGACACTGATAAACCCAAACACAGCAACACAATTTCCTGTCACTATAACAGGCCTATTAGACTAAATCTCTCTAATAGTGTCTCTATAGGGAGTTCCTTTATCATCATGTGCCCCTTGTGTCTTCTGTACAGGCTTGAGTTCTGCAATATATGCATGCATTTAATGTTTGCATGACATTCAACAGTGCTACATCGAGGCCTATAGCCGCATAAGCCCTGACCTCTCAAACAGTTCTGCAGATGTTTTCCTCCTCCTCAGTCAGTGGGCTAAAATCCCCCCCAAAAAATAAATGCCGAATCAAACAACATAAATTATCCGATCGTCCACGTGATCATGCACGAAGTCTTCCCCGGCTGAACACCGTGTTCCTCTGTGCACCCCATCAGTCCTGAAGCCCCCCTGGCATTTGACTGGCACCGGCTTGGAGGTGCCAGTCTAGCAGAGGCTGAGTAAAGACAGCCAGCGAGAGCCAGGCGGGACCGGAAGTAGGGTAGATTGGCTTTCACAATTAAAGCATATTGGGTTGTAGGACACACTTCCACTGATGTGACAACAAAATGAGAAATCACCTAAATACTGCAGTGACCCAGTGTGTGTGAATTGTATCAGAGCTCATTTATAGCCAATGTACAGAGTTAAGTGCAGCATATTTATTATCATAACTCTCAGCTGACCAATGGAAAGGTGACATAAAATTGTGTTTTTATCTCAGGACTGCTGACTTTTACTCACTGTCTGAGGTGAGCTACAGAGGAAGCTGCAGGTGAGGGAACAGTATGCCTGCACCTGTGTTGTGCTTGTCCTACATGCATGGGTGGATTATGAGATGATGGGCCCCCTTGCAAAGACACACAGAAGGCTCCACCACATCTTCTCCAGAGGAGCAAGACACACAGATTTAACAGCTGTTTATCCTCTTTTTGTTGTTTTTTTGCACCTTATTATAGTGGTAACGCATCTCTTTTTGGTTTGGGTTGTTTTACGCTTTTGTAGTCGTTACGAGTCTTTTTTTGGTCTCTTTTTGCAGCTGTTTTGCATCTCTCTGTGGTCACTTTATGTTTTTTTGTGGTCATTTTTAGCTGTTAGATTTTAAAAACCTACCCTTTGATGTTTGAATGTTAAAAGTTGAAGATAAAATCTTTGTGCTTGGTTAATGCAAACAGTTTATATATGGCAAAATTTTAAATGAGACATGTAGAATGAAGTGATTTTGATGAGATATCGCTATTTTAAGCTTAGATTTAGTTGTGTTTTTCTCCTCATGGAAGCATTTGTCCCACATAATGTGTTCAAGGACCATCGGAAATTTGAAAACCCAACAATAATTTCTGTTTTTACAGTTTCTGGCTGTGATAAATGGTGATTTTTAAAGAAAACACCCCTTTCAAACCAGGTTTGGAACGCATGTTTTCCTCTAAAAATTGGTGGTAAAATAAATACAATTGTTTAAATTTAATATACTTTATTAATCCCTGAGGGGAAATTCAATTTTTTCACTCTATTGTCAATTACACACAGGTCTGAACGCACACACATGCACAAACAGGACCTATACATGCACTAAGTGGAGGCATGTCAGGGTGGGGCTGCCCATGACAGGCGCTCCGAGCAGTTGGGGGGGTTCAGTGCCTTGCTCAAGGGTGCCTCGGCAGTGCCCAGGAGGTGAACTGGCGCCACTCCAACTACCAGTCCACGCTCCATATTTTGGTCTGGACGGGGACTTGAACAGGCGACCCTCCGGTTCCCAACCCAAGTCCCTATGGACTGAGCTACTGCCGCCCTAATACAGCCATTTAAATTTGTATGCCCGTTTACTAAAACAGACACACACACACACACACACACACACACACAACAACAACAACAACAACACAAGTCCCTTCCCAGTGCTTAAAAATTTATTTGACATGCCTCCCCCTTTATGCACCCCTCCCCTCCCCTCTCATAAATAACGAACAGTCCCTAAGTGTTCATTCTAGTGATTCTGGACTCCACTTTGGACCCCTGGGCCTGGGAGGCATGTTCAGTACACCATCCATGCCTACATGCCATTTCGACCTTTGACCCTGACCAGGGTAAGTGATGAAAAAACTGAAAAGCAGATGGTTAATAGGCCTTAATGAATTCGGTGCTGATTTTATTTTGAAAATCTCCACCGGAAGTTCAATTTCTATTCCTCGTAGCTTGACGGCGTAGGGTATCGACAGACTGTGGGCAACCTCAGACAGGTGGAGGAGATGTCCTTAAGCAGCTGAACTGCACCGTGGTTGGACCTGATCGGGCAGGACTGGGCTGGGCTGCAGGACGAGCAGCGGCGGACGCTGCTGTGCACGCTCGCTGCGCGGATCCTCCTGCAGCTGCTGGATTCACACTATGATGCCACATCCAAAACATGCTTTGGCTGATTCTCCCATCCTGAGCCTTCGCACACATGCTGGACACTTCAATGTGGACGCGGGGAGGACGAGTGATGTAGTTGCAATGGATTAATGAGGAGTACACATGGGCTTCGGTTTTTTCCCTGAGATTATTGGCGTCTAGTATTCATCACCCTGCCTTGGCCATGGAGAACCAAGCAGCCGAGCCGCAGAACTATGAAGATGTACAGAAAAGCGGCTATCTCCGCAAGCATAAATCAATGCACCGGCGATTCTTCGTGCTGAGAGCGGCCTCGGAGCATGGTCCTGCTCGACTTGAGTATTACGAGAACGAGAAGAAATTCCGCAGTAAATCACCTGTGCCCAAAAAAGTCCTGAACCTGGAGACTTGCTTCAACATCAACAAGCGGGCAGATTCCAAGAACAAGCACATGATAGTCCTTTATACCCGCAGCGAGAGCTTTGCCATCGCTGCAGACAGCGAGGAGGTCCAAAACGAGTGGTACCAAGCGATGCTGGACCTCCAGTGCAACTGTAAGATATGAAAAGTGTGATGTGATTCCTCCTGTCTGTTTCTGCATCAGGCCCTATCCTGCCCTAGGCTGTTTGTTCTCCATACACTATTTGGCTCGGCCATTCCTGATTGTTCACTGCATATCACTGGCTCGGGTGGTGTGAATATTTTTGCTGCAGCTCCAGTTTGGCTGTTTAATCAGAATAAATCAGTCTAAGTTCTGCAGTTTGGACGGTGTGTTTTTAACCAAGAGGCAGGTGGATCCGACTGAACGGGGTAGACCAACTATGGGCGGCATGTGCTGTGTTTGTGCTGCACAATCTCAATACGCGTTAATACAGTTGTAACCTGCGGATCATTTTCTGTCAGCAAAATGATGCATTTCAGTAGCATCTGCATGTAATATGGAGATGGTCGCCTTTGCTGACTGAAATGCAGCCCGTTTTTCCACGACGGTGTATTTTTGCATGGCGCAGTGGGCATATAGCAACCATCCAAGGGATGCATCATATAGTAGTAGCCTATCGTGGTGCACTCCGCTGGAGCCTGTGTTTTTGTTTTTCTGCACAGCTCTGACTGCCGCTCGCCTAACCTACATTTGTGTTACACGGTGCTGCTGGTAGGGAGGAGATGGCATCGTCAGTGCGCTCTCACTGGAAAATGTGTTTCTGTTGGTTATCCTCGTGTTTACGTTGCTATCCTTATGCTGGAGCCGAACACCACCACCACCACCACCACCCTCACCCTCCCTGTTATCCTTTGCATTTCAGGCAGTTTGAGACTGATGGGCTTGCCCAGCTTTAATTTTGTCATGCTGTGGAACCCTGAATGGATAGACCCCCATTTTGTTGGGATTATGTCTCAGTGACAGACACAATAAAACACTGTCTTTAATTAATTTAATTTTACTGTATGCTTGTTTGTTATGTGCAGAGGGATGCACGGAGGGAGACTGAAACACCTGAACATATCAGGTTGTAATTCTTGGGGTGACCATGTCTAATAAATTATTTTCCTTGAGGACAAGAGAACACCAGGTGTCATTTGTTCAGTGACAAAAAAAGCAAAATTATATTGCTGTGATTTGTCATGTGATTGGCAATGAACTGAGCTGGGATGCATTATTTCACATTGGAGCACACAGCATTTCAGTAGATGTATTCTATACCTCCAAAGACTTAATTAATTAATTATGAAGCTGTAGCTTAAAAGTGATTGTGACAAAATTAGCTGCAGCACTGTTGCTTGGCAGATGCAGTAGAGATTCTTGTATGTAGCAATTTAATTATCATAAATATTACTTTTTAGTGTCACCACATTGGTTTGTCATTTTTGCTTTGATCAGTATTTCAACAGGTCATGTTTTATGTAATTTTAGGTTGTTTCAAGATTGTTCATTTATTTATTCTTTATTGTTTTCCTAGGTAAAACTCCTGAAGACTATGGCAGTAGTGGAGAGTGTAGCTCTCCGTCTCCTATTCCAACCTTCAAGGAAGTATGGCAGGTCAAGGTTTGGCCTAAAGGTCTTGGACATGCCAGGAACTTGGTGGGCATCTACCGGCTGTGCCTCACTGACAAGACAGTCAACTTTGTCAAACTCAATTCTGATGTGGCAGCTGTGGTGTTGCAGCTGATGAATGTTCGCAGGTGTGGCCATTCAGAGAATTTTTTCTTCATTGAGGTGGGTCGCTCGGCGATCACCGGCCCCGGAGAGTTCTGGATGCAGGTGGATGACTCTGTGGTGGCTCAGAACATGCACGAGACCCTGCTGGAGGCCATGAAGGCCCTGAGTGAGGAGTTCCGTCAGCGCAGTAAATCTCAGTCTGTGGGGACGTCGTGCGGAGGCGGTACCGCTTCAAACCCCATCAGCGTCCCGAGCCGTCGGCATCATCCAAATCTGCCACCAAGTCAGGTGGGCTTCTCCAGACGAGCCCGTACGGAGACACCTGGAACTGGAGGCAGCAGCACTAGCACTTCACCTACATCGCGCCATGGATTCCCAAGGGCACGGACTGCCAGCATTGGAGCCAGGTCGGAGGAGGGCGGAGCAAGTGCCAAAGGGACATGGGCCAGCTCCAGCCCGAGTCTTAATGGTTCCTGCTCAACTACGCCAACGCTGAGACCCAAGCCCACCAGGGCCCCAACCCCTGCTAAGATTACCCTCAGCCTTGCACGTTACACGCCTAACCCTGCTCCCTCTCCTGCACCGAGTCTATCCTCCAGCTCTGGTCATGGCTCAGAGTGTGGCCTAGTGGGGGCAGCAGTGGGAGGCATGACGATCTGCTCCTACCCTCGTGTTTCTCAGAGAGTCTCTGTTTCAGGTTCACCGAGCGACTACGGCTCCTCAGATGAATATGGCTCCAGTCCAGGGGAGCACTCTCTCCTTGTACCCAGTCTGTCTGGACATCATGTGCATGGAGAGGGCTCCTCTAGCTATATAGTGATGGGACAGCGAGAGGGTCTCCTTGGTTCCCATCATCGCTCAAAAGGCCGACGGATTTTGCGGCGTTCATCTAGTAGGGAATCTGAGGCGGAACGCAGACTACTGAGTAAGAGGGCTTCCCTGCCTTTGGCAGCCCATGAACGGCTGACCCCGCATAGAAAAGATGAAGACGATGAAGATGATGAAGAATATGCCATCATGTCGCAGAGTGCTAACAGAGAGAGAGCTGATTTACACCATGGCTCAGAGGGTCTGGCAGCTGGGGGCGGGCAGCTTGATGCAGTCGGGAAAAATAGGAAGAGGGCTGACAAAAGCAGGCGAGAAGTGGAAGGTGGAGCAGCTGTGGATAGCGGCTATATGTCAATGTTGCCTGGAGTGACGTCTCCTCCTGTTTCACTCTCTCTCTCAATAGGTATGTCTGACACCAGTGCTAAACATGGGGCAGATGACGAGTATATGGCCATGACCCCCAACAACAGTGTGTCCCCCCCTCAGCACATCCGCCAGCCCAGCACAGAAGGCTACATGGTCATGTCTCCTAACAGCAGCAGCTCCACAGACCTGCACGGATTGGGCATGTGGGATAGCAGGGCCAGCATGGAGAGCCGGGCTGCCAGTGACTACATGAACATCTCACCTGTCTGCAGCCGCTCTGCCTGCAGCACACCGCCTTCCCACCCAGAACAGCACCAACTGCAACCAAAAATGTTCAATTCCTACTTCTCACTGCCAAGAGCTTATCAACATACTCTCTACACTCGCTTTGAGGAGGACTTAAACAAAGGGGAAGGAAAAAAGGACAGCAGTGGGCATGATAGTGCAGGAAGGGGAGGGGGAGTGGGATACAGCAAGAGAAACAAAATTGCAGCGGGCTCTGCAGGAGGCTGTCAGCTCTCCATGTCTTCCTCTTCCTTCTCCTCCAGCTCAGCCAGCAGCGAGAGCCTGGAAGACAAGTCCATATCAGCGGGGAGAGGGTTAAGTTTATTAAGAACTGGAGGAGAGTATAAGTTTGCGGGGACATGCGCAAAGGATGGGCGTCATCATCAAAAACGTGGATCAAGTAGTAAGAGCCCGAAACAACAAAGGAGGGATCGTCCCCTCAGCGTGTCTTCAGACATCACTAAGGCAAACACCCTGCCCAGGGTGAAGGAGAATCTGCAGCCATCAGTTTCTCAAAACGTCGGTGAGTATGTCAGTATTGTGTACAAGGAGGACAATAAGTATGGTGGAGGAAGACGTTTGGGGTCTGAACGTGGACAGCCTGTGATCCAAGGAACCCTTCGGCCTGTGAATCAACCACTTCTCTGCCATGATAATCCCGCTAACCTTCCCCGCAGCTTCTCTGCTCCATTGTCCACCTCTGCAGAATACGTCAGCATGGATTTAGGGAAGTCCTCAACGCCCCTGACTCCTGTTAGATCCACATTCAGCACCCCACAGGGCCCACCAGCTGTTGCCCCCAAGGCCCGACATGAACACAGCACGTCCTCTCCTCTGGCAGCAGAGGGCAACACCGGGTACAGAACAAAGGTAAAGTCGGCAGCAATGCCAACAGACGCCTCCACTCCATTTATGGACAGCAAAGGTTCCGATCCCAGCATTTCAGCAAGACCTGCCATCCACTCTGGTCAACCCTTATCCATTGAGCAGGAGACAGGCTTGGGCTTTTCCCCAGTCAAGTCCTTCCAGTCTCCTGAGCGGAGCAGCAGGTCGGTCCGAGGTGACCCACAGGGACGGCCGAGCCACCGTTCAGAGACATTTAACTCACCTCCCTCCCTGCCACGCCACACATCCTCTTCTACCTCCATCTTCCCGGAGGGCAGCCAGGCGGCGAGCCATCGGCATGGTTTGGATTGCTCACTGTGGGAAAACAGGCAGGCAGCTAGTTTATCTGCCACACCTCCACCACAAGCCTCCACCTCATCTGCTGAACAAGGCCTTAACTATATTGACCTTGACCTGGCCATTAAGGAGAGCCCTCAAGCCGGAGTGGAGCGTACCTCCGCCGCCTACAACATTGGAGGAAGCGCTATGGGCAGCAGCACTGGCTCCAGCCTCAACACTTATGCCAGTATTGATTTCTATAAGTCAGAAGAACTGAGAGCACACCAGAGCAGTAGAAAGGATGGTCAAGGTAAGTGCTGCTTGGAGCAAACCCATCTCATCCTAAAATATCTATTTCACCAAACAAAAGTTGGAGATTTTGTGTTCAGGAAATGTTCAGACATCCTACAACATTCTTAAATATCACCTTTTATAATATTGTAGTTTGTGTCCTCTTAGATAAGGTTACAGTGTCTTAAGTGACACCTTCATTCTTCTTGTAGACCATCATGTTATCGGTGTCAGTTCTGGCCTACAGCAAACAATGGAGGGGGCACGTTTTATCAGCCTAGCTATTAATGCAATAATTAAATGCATATGGAAAATATTTCAAAACTATAAAAGAATGGTCTCTATTCTGAGATCTAAATTTGAACGGTTATAGCAGGAGGAAAACAACCAAATGCAATTCAGGTGTCTTATATTCCTGCTCTTCGTTCGGTACGATGAGGTTGATTAACTCTTCGACTCTTTATAACCTTAAAACGAGTTGTTTGCATCTTTATTTTGTATGGAAAGAGCACATTTTGGTAGAGCTGCAGCGATTAGTCAATAGGGAGGAAACTGATCTCTAACAGTTTTTAAGCAAAAAAGAAGCGTGTAAGTTTTAGGGACATCTGTTGGCAGATATTGTATGCAATAATTGTTGTGTTTTTGTTACCTTTGAATAAGCAGTTTATATCTTTATACAGAGCAGGTCCTCTTTCACGGAGTCCGCCATGTTGTTCTACAGTAGCCTAGAATGAACAAACCAAACACTGGCTCTAGATAAGGCCATTCACGTTTTCCCATTGGCCACCGTGATTCTCCTACATGCTTGGCACAAGAGAGGAGTTTCAGTTTTGCAACCTCAGTGCTAAATATAATCGTATTTTAAATATAAATCAATATACATATTCAGTTTATTGGTATTGAAGATAAATATAAATCTTCTCCAATGCTTGAAATTATTAGTTGATTAATGGATCAGTCAATGGACAGTAAATCAGTTTGAGTAATCAATCAAAAACAACGTGGTTCCAGATTTTCATTTGCAAATATTTGCTGCTTTTCTGAGTCCTATGTGATAGTGACAGTATGTGTGAGGGTGTGCTGAGTATCTCTGGGTTATAGGCTGTTGCTCCGACAAAACAAGCTCCTTGATTTTCTTAACTTTAATAGGCATTTTTACTATTTTCTGGCTTTTTAAAGATCAATACAATTAAAAGCAGAATTAATAATATAATAGTCTGATCGATTGATACTGGAAATGTTTCGTAGTTGCTGCCCTAATTGTCGGTAACTTTCAAAAACAATTGGATGTGAAAAAAATATTTGAAAATAGGTGAAAGGGGAAAAAACCCGACATAATTCCTGGTAATGTTTGTCTAGCTGGATGTAAGCGTTTTATGTGATGTGCATAATCCACAGACAAAACTCATGTCTGGGTCTTAGTCACTCCTTCCCCTTTCATCCCTTCCTGATGTGTACCTTTGCTTCAAGCTGGAGGGCAGCACTGCATTTCCAGGCCGTGGGTTGCCTGTAGAGTCTCTTATTATCACAAGTGGGTGTTCAGAGAGCAAAGCCAATTGATTTGTCTGCTGGTAATGAGCCATTTCACATAAATGGAGGTAGAGGGGAGAGAACGCAGGCCAGGTGTTTATGTTTATGTGTGGGTGTGTTATCGGCTGCAGGATTTCACATGGCTCCTGTGAGGTTTCCCTCACTGTACACATGACAAATGCTTAATGTAAAGTGCATGATTGAGGGATGAATGAGAAAGTTCATAAGAGATTCATTGTTTTAACCATGAACAGATTATAAAGACAATGGGCCCCAGGGCACAGACATGTAGAAGGCCCCCTACACGTCTTTTTGTAGTTGTTTTGAGTCTTTCACGGTACTTTTGTGTCTCTTTGTAGTCTTTTTATGTCTCTTTGTAGTTCTTTTGAATCTTTTTGTGGTTGTTTTGTGTCTTTTTGTGGTTGTTTTGTGTGTATTTGTAGTCATTTTGACTCACTTTGTGGTCGTTTTATGTCTCCTTGTAGTATTTTTGAATCTTTTTGTGGACATTATGTGTCTCTCTTTGTAGTCTTTTTGCTGCCACTCATTTTGTTTCTCTTTGTAGTCGTTTAGTGTATCTTTGTGGTTGTTATGCAACATTTTGTAATACTTTGTAGTTTTTTGCACCCCTTTTTGGCCATTGTGAGTCTCTTTGTAGATGTTGTGTTTCTTTGCGCCTCTTTTGCGTCTCTTTGTAGTTGTTTTTTGTCTCTTTGTAGTCTTTTTGAGTCATTTTATGATTGTGTTTTGTCTGTAGTCTTTTTGACTCTCTTTGTAGTCATTTTATGTCTCTTTGTAGTCCCTTTGAATCTTTTTGTGGTTGTTTTGTGTCTCTTTGTGGTCGTCTTGTGTCTTTTTGAGTCTTTTTGTGGTTGTTTTGTGTGTCTTTGTAGTCATTTTGTCTCTCTCTGTGGTCGTTTTATGTCTCTTTGTGGGTTTTTTTTGCTATTTGTAGTTGTTTTTTGTCTCTTTGTAGTCTTTTTGAGTCATTTTATGATTGTGTTTTGTCTGTAGTCTTTTTGACTCTCTTTGTGGTCATTTTGTGTCTCCTTGTAGTCTTTTTGATGCCACTTGTGGTCATTTTGTGTCTGTTTGTAGTTGTTTTGTGTCTCTTTGTAGTTGTTTTGTGTGTCTTTGTGGTTGTTTTGCAACATTTTGTAATGCTTTGTATTTTTTTGCACCCCTTTTTGGCCATTGTGAGTGTCTTTGTAGCTTCTTTGTGCCTCTTTTGCATCTCTTTGTGGTCGTTTTGTGTCTCCTGGTAGTCATTTTGTGTCTCTTTGTAGTCATTTGATCGACTTTCTGACAAGGAATTTTAAAAACGGAGGCTCTGGTCCAGGGGCCTGGCTTTTACATGTCAAGAAATAAAACCTGCAAGAGGCAGTATGTTAGCATGTACTGTAACTATACAGGTAAATATAAATACTAATCAGAGGACTAAATGGAACAAACAACGTGTGCAGCTTATTTATTTGGAGCAGCTACGACATTTGCATGATTGATTCATCTAATGCTATTCAGTCTCTATGTGTACATGTATAATCATAATAATTGCCTAATTATTTAAATTGTGGATAGTTTATTTATGCATTTAACATGCATAGCAAGGAAAAGAAGGCCCTGTTAATATTCTGTAAATGACTCTTTCATGTAATTTTTCACACTGTGATTAATGATTGGATGTGCCTCCCCTTCTATAAGCTTCAAACCGTGCGTTTTCATTAACTGCAGCCATATTCTAATAATGGAATTCAATATAAGAAGGCTGTACATGTGGAGGATGGCTGCTGTGCTGCAGCATATAAACCCCCAAATAAACAGGCTTCTCAACACTCAAATCATTTTGCTAATATCACATTACTCCACCTGTTTTAATTACATTTTAATTAGACGCCCAAATAAAAATGTTTATTAAAATACCAGATTTAGATTAAGATGTTTATTTGTGCCCCATGTTTTAATTTCTGTATTGTCACATCTGCATTACGAGCGAAGTGTTCATGTGAACGCGGCTCTGGGCTCTACTGACGCAGTTTATTGTCTGGGCAAGATGCAAACTCTGATTCAATGATGTAACTTAAATCCTCCAGGCTCTCTGGTGTTTGTGAATAGTTAATTATCTTTATTTGATCCACTTACAGCAATATGAGTAATTGTTAGTGAACAACACTGCAGCCTAGCCATGTTCCAACACTGATGAGCTTCATATAGTCCAAATATGAACCAGACTGCCTGAATCTTTGCATCCTTTAAAACAGTGTGCAGCTCTGATCAGGCGATTCTTAAACTGTCGTGATTTTTGTGTCCTTGACAGAAATAAGAAAAAAATTATGTATAAATTTCTTAAATTTTTATTTTTGTCACACTTACCTGATACCAAAAGGAGCATACAAGAGTTAAATGATGGAGCAGCCATTATTTATATTATATAAAAAGTGGCCCTTTATGTGTTTTTTTTTCTTTTGTCGCCAGATTGTAGACGTTCAACCCTGCTTAATTTTGAATTTAATACTGATCTAATATTAGCTTCAAGTACAAATGACAGATAAATACTCATTTTAATAAAATGTATCATATTTTATGTATTTTTCATAAAAAATAACACCTGTCCTTTGGTATTACTGTCATTTCCATCACACTGTACAAAGTGTACACTCAGGGAGGTTTCTTTTTTGGTGAAATTGGTGACCACAGCAATAGTCATGTGACAGGGCAGCACATGGCGGGAACATAAATAAGAAAATCAAGGTCAATTTTTGTGAAATCAAGAATATGTTTATAGCGTGCTGCAGGATGACGTATTTTTGTAGGCCGACACGGAAGTGAGAATCGCCCTGGTTCCCTCGTCAAAAAGATTTTTGAAGAATTTTTCTATTGTGTTTTGGAGTATTGCAAAAAAAAAAAAAAAAAAGCTTGGTGGCAAACAAAATCCATGATGCATATTTCTTTTAAATGTTCAAATAATTAGAAAAACAACATTTTGTTTTGTGTAGTTTGTGTATATTTAATGTCAATGCTATAACAGACATTAGCGAGCTTAAATATCATTAGATTATTTTTTAAAATGTGACAAAATGCCATTTCCACCACCCTCTCTCCATCACTTTGTTTACTGCAATGGAAAGGATATATGGTGATGGAAATGACAAGGCCAGAGTTACATTAGTGAGAAAATTCTATCAATATATTTCTCCAGACTAAATATGTACTGCACTCAAAAACAAAGAAAACAAATGCAGTGAAATGCTGAGATTGCAAACAATCATTTGATTGTGATGGTTGGAGTAACTGGTTAGATCAAACCACAGGTAGATTTGTCTGCACTTCTCTTGATGTGCAAACTATACTTTAATAAAGTTATTTTATATGGCAACTGTAGACCTCGAGAGAGAGGAAGAATCATTTGATTCCAAGCTGATAATCATAACCCCATGTTTGTTTGCCGCCTCTGACTTTTTTTTCTGCTGACATGATCAGAAACCAGAGGACTTGTTTGTTTAGGTGGCTCATTAAAAAGAAGAAACAGTTGAAAATACCTGTAACAGATAAGTCTGATGCAAAGACACATAATATTGACATCTGCAACAGTGTGCGTGAGACTCCAATCAGAAAATCCCTTTTGAAAGATATCACGTGTCATGTGATATTTACCCAAGCAGCCAGCAGGAGCTCAAAAGCAATATGCTTCGGAGAATATATAATCTGGTTTAAACTGCCTCAGCTCCTGTAATTCACTGTGAATCATTATGTAAACCATGATAAAGGATAAAACACAAATGAATGTAACCAGTGGAAAACCCTTTTGTTTCTGAAAATGTGTGGCTTTAATTCCTCCCTGCTTTTGATTCTTTTCTTCCAGATTGTTGATCTCCATCTTGGATGTGAGCGTGACGCCGGTGTGACAGCTCCACAGTCAGTCTGTGAGGGGACGACCTGTTGCCACAACAGAACTGTACACTGGAGTCTGAACACTGAGAAACCTGGAAAACTCATCCCCATCCCGTCGGCTGTTTTATGTCAACCAAATGTGTGCCAAACACACACACACTCTCACGCACACACACACAAACACACACTCACAGGGTAAAGAAAAGAAAAGGTTTGTCTTGTTTTGAACGAAAATGACATTTGATCATCATTTAACTTCAGTAAAATGTGACATGTGATGGTGTGTGTGTTCTCAGGTGGCCACTATGACAAAAAAGTCCATCTGTGCATCTTAATTTAAAACACATTGTGATTGATGTATCAGCCAATCAAGGCTCAGAGCTTATTATTGGGTCAAACTTAAATCCTCAAAGTTTATGTTTCTACGTATCACCCTTTATCCAAAAGTTAAATGATCGTCATGTGTCATTTCTGACTCAAAATAAGAGGGAAATACAGTTTGGCAGAGGTTTCATACACTCATACACGCTGTCACTGTAAACATATTTAATTTATAATATACAGTTGCCCAACAAAGCGTTTATACTTCCTCACCACTTTTCTTGTGCTACGGTCGGACTTCAAAATGTGCTTAATCTCTGAGGTATAATGAAGTACAGTTCACTGAGTTACACAAATGAAATTTAGATCTCATCGTTATATTTTCTGTCAGTTTTTCACACAAGAATAAAATGGCTGTGTGAAAATCCCACACATCTTATGCAACGTTTATGAAATTCACAGGAGTGTAAAAGTGTATTAAATGGATATGATTCCATTTTCACACTGCAGTCAACATCACATTGTTGCACTCGTGCTCAGAGTTGATCTTTAAGTTGTAGTCGAGCAACGAGAACAATCGCTTTCTTTTTTGTGCTCTCCAAACTGTCAAAGTGTAACTCTGTGTTTTTCCACACAGAGTTGAGCGTTATCCCTGAAGCTTTAGCTGTGTACTCACACGGTATACATGTTTATACAGCCTCGGCTTTGATTACGCACAAACCAAACATGTCCTGTCATGTCCTGTGACTGATAATCAAATGGTGCCAGTATGAAAGTCCACTCAGTGCATCTCAGTGCTTTGAATGGAAAGTTAAGTGGTCACTTGTCTGCCCAGTATGCAAACACCCAGTGTGTATTTAAAATCATTTCTTTATTGTGGTGCATCGTGACAAAGAGAAAACTGTAATTACTTTTTATCCCAAAATACAAGTGAGCATATTTACACATACGACACTTCAACCTTCAGTAACTGCAGCTAACAAAGAAAAAAAACCATTGGACTCACATGTGCTTTATTTGTGCTGCAGCTAAAACGCTGCAGGAAAAGTCGCAACATGACGGCACTTTAAGGGAGTGATGGATGTCACAGAGATCCTGCAGAAAGGCAGGTGCATAGATAAACAACAATGCATTTATTCGATAATCACAGTACGCAGCATTGCATAAAAATGGCCAAATTAACATAACATTCTTCTGCTGTGCATGTAAACAGCTTAATCAAATTGGCTTCAAACACGCAGTAGAGACAATAATGAGATTGTATGTATGTAAATGTCCTCAGTGAGATGTGTTGAGAGGGCCTGATGACAGACTTGTTAGTGAGGGAAGCTGAATAGTTTTGAAATCAATGGGATGAGGAAAAAATTAAAGGACCCCCCCACCCCAAAAAAAGAAAAAAAATTATAATAATAATCACACAACCCTCCCTCTTTTCTGACCCTTTCTACCCCACGCCCCAAGACCAATTGAAGCCAATTCTATATAGTGGCCAAACATGGAATTACAGCGTCTGGGTCTGACACATGATGCCATGGCACCCAAAACCACTTTTTCCCATAGACTTACAGTCAGTACGTTTACATGGACAGTTTAATTCCACTTTCATTCGGAAGGAAAGGCCATTCCGATTAAAAGTGGTCATGTAAATGGTCATTCCGATTGAAAATTAAATCCGATTAAAGGGGCTGGAATATTCCGTTTGTCATTCCTAATGAAAGAATTCCTCTCACTTGTACACACTCATTCCTCTTTAAGTTCATTCCGGTCTTTCTGCGCATGCTTGTTTCCTCGCCCTTCTGGCGCACATAGCAACGGGCTGAGATAGAGCACTCTGACTCGTTGCACTCACCGGTTTCCATTCGCCACAGCACGGTCTTCTATCTCCCTTCTTCGACCTTCTACCTCCCTTCTCCTCCTCAACAGACGAAGCATTAGCAGAACAAGGTTGTTGTTGTACTGCTGCTTCAAGAATATAAGCAAAACAAGCCCAAAAAAGGCACTAAGAACGGCGTTGTCAAGCATCTTATTATCCGGAGCGAGGACTACGTAAACACGTAACATCTGCCCCGCCCCCTATCCAATCAGAAACCTTCCCTAACCCAAACCTTGCGCGGACCCGAATAAAGGTGATTAAACTGATCTCCCGTGTAAACCCTCATTCAGAATGAGTATTTCCCATGTAAACTACCTGGAAAGACTTTAATTCCGAATGATTTCATTCAAAGTTATTTCATTCTGAATGAGAAGCCATCATGTAACCGCACCCAGTGTGAAAGAGATGTTTGATGATGATAACATTTTGAAAGTCTAGAAGACACGCGCAATTAAATCATTTTTATCCTGATTGAAGTTAGTGGAGGGCTAAACCGGAAGTTAGCCATTAGGCTGCAGTAAGTTAGCCGCTCAGCTTGCACTATGGGCCCCACAGTGCAGCACATCCAAGTAATTTCACATTACGGAAACTTTTTTGGCTTCATGTGCTATTGCTGTAGTAGCTGTTTCTGAACATGGCCCCGCCTCCAGAACTGTATCCAGTTCTCTTTATACATCCTTGCTCTACCCCACCTAGTAATTTTCGTACAATCCCTAACTACAGCTCACATAGGAAGCCATACGTATTTGTTAGTAAGATTATACAATACAAATGAGACTAGACTACAAATAATAATATTTATGAAAACTGTACAAACAACAGTATAAAATTATTTAGCACTTTTAGTCGATTATTACCAAATAAGACCTCACGTTAATGCGTTTTGAGCCTCTGTAGCACAAAAAAGTCAAAGTGCAAATACTTTTTTTGGCAACTGTGCTTTTCTATGATAACTGTATATTATACTATAGTATATACTACAGTATACAAGTAGAATGACAGAAACTATAGTACATACTGTAGTCTGTTTTGTTCATTTGCATAACAGTTAACACAATTCTAATATAAAGTGACACATTACAATGGTATATAAAATATACAGTATACATATAATGATTAATACTATATAGCCTAGATATCTATATACTCTTTTATAAAGTGCCTCATTTTTGATTGTAGCTGTTTTTACACAGGTAATCTTAAAATGGGTTGTGAAAATGGACATAAAACAGTGTTGTTTCTCTCCTGAGTCTAAATTGTGAATATGCCGAACTTTACAGACGACAGACCGGACACTTATATCACTATCAGTCAGCCATAATCAAATTGCCTTACTGTGTTTTATCAGAAACATGAAAAAAAAATCTTATTTTATGTGTTTTTTTGCAGTGCCTAACACTTCAGCCACAATGTAAGCACTCCCTCACTCTTTTGTTTGGCTTCGTCAAGCTGAGGTTTGGCCAAAAAAAAAAAAGAAAAGACCATCTCTTTCTCTCGTAGTTTCACACCCTGGGATGCATCCACTTCAGGCCCCCCCTCTTTTTCTGTTTGTCCGCAAAACTGACGGCCTGTTGCAGATGGGACGTCCTCCATCTGAAGATTATTAGCGGACACTGCTGCTAATAGCTTGCAGAAAAAAACAAATTAAGAATCACATCTTGTACATGATAATTCTACATTGTATAGACTGTATTGTCAGATCAGATTTTTAATCTTACCCTGTTTTACACCAAGAAGATGAACACAGTTGACAGTGTCTTGTATATAAAATAAGTTGTCCACTGATAAAGCAGGCTCGTACTCAGTATTTGAAGGAAAATGAAATATGTATCATGATTTACTCGCAGTATATTTTGAACCCCTAAACAATCATGAAAGGAGTTGATTTTACCTCCACAGAGCAGCCAGTAGTGGCGTGTGTGACCGCTTATCTGGGCTCAAAACAGTGTTAACATGCTTGTGTGTTGCTCTTATTATTTGGATGTGGATTATCTGGACGTGGATTCGGTTCCCAGAAGGTGTGAATAGTACTACTTCTCTCTCTTTTCCTCTCTACACTCAAACGCAGGACTTGGTCGAATACCATGAGACAGTGCCGTTCCTGCACACGCTCATTTACTTTCTCATTTATTCCATTCAAGACATTCTGCTGCTGTCAAACCAATTGCCAAAAAAGAGTCTGACAACAATTCAAATGTCTACCATGAAGATAATTTGCAAAGAGTAGACACACATAATCAGTGGCAGAGCTGATCCACATAGACAGCCACTGGGCCAAAAAATAAGTCGTTAAAATTTAAATGGAGTCAAACTTTTTTTAAGCAGTGTTTTTCTTAAGGTAGTGTGACTTATAGTTTATGACAGGTTGCGTACTGTATCCAGAGCCGCTGACGGAGAGTTTGGCCATGTTGTGACATTAGTGATACTGTACATTCAATCAGGGTGTGTAGGTATACAAAAAATAGTCTGCTGGGTATGGCGTTGCAGTTTCAAACACTAATTGCAGTGACCAAACTCTTTGGATCCAGGGCTCTGGCTGTGTGTATACAGGGTACAAACAAAGAAGGCTTTCTTGATGTATTTTTGACACTGGTAGCTTTTCCCACATTTAGATTGAGTTTTTATTTCACTTACCAAATTAATTTTGACCCTGTGGCAGATATTAAATGCTTAAAGGGATAGTTCGAATTTTTTTTAAGTGGGGCTGTATGGGGTACTTATCCATAGTCAGTGTATTAAATACAGTAGATGTCATTCGACAAGCCCCCAGTTTGGAGAAGCAGGCTGGAGTCAGACACAGAAGCTAAGCAATGTACTGCTGTGGGTGGGAGTCAGCAACAAAGTGTATTTTAACCACCTAAAGGAAGCCCCACCCAAAAAAGCAATATCAGTTTAAGTGTGTAATGCAAGCTCATAATGACGGGAAAGCCGTTAACATCTTCAATTCCCCATCTATGCTCTCGCCAGAGCTACCAGACTCCATTGACAAAAACAGCAATTTAAAAATCACTGAACACGGGAGCTGCTGGTGTACAGCTGCCTCAGTCAGTTAGTTAGTTTGTCTTATTGTGTGACTGTCATTAATCCAAACTAACCCTTTTAAACACTGAAGTCACACAATAACACAAACAAACAAACTGTGTGAGGCAGCAGTAGACCAGCAGCTCCTGTGTTCAGCAATCTTAAATTGCTGTTTTTCTCAATGGAGTCTGGCTTTGAAGAGAGCGATATCACAGCTTCATTTTCCAGTTGGAAATCGCTCTCTGACAGCAAGGTAAAGCAGTGAAAATATTCTAAATATACACCCACTTATACTGACATTGATTTTTTTCAGGTTGACCTTTTTTTAGGTGGCTAAAATATATTTTGTCGCGGACCCCTCCACAGCAGTACATTGCTTAGCTTCCATGTCAGACTCAAACCTGCTTCTCCTAACTGGGGGCATGCTGACTAACATCTACTGTATTTTATACTGTCTATGGAAAAGTACCCCGCACGACCCCGCTTAAAAATATCTGAACTATCCCTTTAACTGCACGTGCACGCTGATACACATAAAAAAACAAATCTGAGTGTTTTCATCCTGGAGCCCTCAGCTCACATCTGAGAGGACACTCAAGTGCCTGGCTGTGGTGTCTGGTCTTTAATCACTTATGTTTAAGTTAATCTCAGTGCAAAGACAGAAATTCAAACCAGCTTCTGGAAGTCTTCCACGCATTTCTTTAGTATTCAGTTGGAGATGTGCACAGCAACTGGCCCACATTTTCTTCGCAAATGATGCGTTCCTCGTGCCAAAGTTTTACGGTGATCTCTGAGCACTTGAGACCTGTGACACCACACTAACACAAAGTTTGATTTGGGTTTTTGCAAATTTGTCAGGCACTTGTCGGTCACTGTTTTTAATCCTATGAAGTGAAAAATGTCTGATTGAGCACAGCCCACTACTGCCAACAGTTTGTGCTCAATACTGAGAACTTTATTGCCAAACTCTTGGATAACAAATCCATATAACTACATGGACTAGTTCCACTTTTATAACTTGTGTTACTCTTTTGTTGAAGTGATCTTTTATAATCTCTTTGTTATTCCTTCAGTGTAACTCTTCTAATTGGGGATTAACGAGATTCTCTGACTGTACCTCATAATCTCAAGTTCGGGCAGACGTAACAGTTGGTAGTAAAGCCCCTTGGAGAGTCTGAGAAGGGTTCAGGATATTACTGACGTCAAATACAAGGAACGCATGGATTTGGGTAAATATCATTTAATGTATTGTGCATTCAAAACTTCTTAAACAGCGTGAAGCGCTCTGCAGTGTTTCCATTCTCATGACATACGGCTGTCATACGGAAACGCTTCTCATCTGCCAATCATCAGAATTCTGCCAAGTGTTTGGGTTTAATGAAACGCAGAGACTCGTGTCGTCTCTTGAGAACATCTCGTGACGACATGTTGAATATGAGGCACATAAGTTGCTCATCAGACTCTAACTGTGGGAAATGATACTGTATGTACAATCAGGAAAGCGATTATAATTACAATGGAAAGAGCATTGTATGTATTTTAAAGCTATTGATACTACTTTGATAATGATGTAAAATGCAAAAAGATTGAACAGGAACTATAGGTATGTAAAGTATACTGTGTATAGAGGAGTTTGCTCCAGGGGAGGGATGGGCATGGGGTTCGTTCTGTTCATGGCAAAATTGTTTAAAACAGAATATTGATGATTCTTGTCTGTGATGTAGACAACGTCAATGTTTGTTTTGGTTTTTTTGATAAAAGGCAAAGTGATATGAAAATGGAAAACTGTGTCTTTTCTTTTTTTGACCGCATGCCTGTTGAACTCAAAAGTCTACACTGAGGACGTGTTGAAATATGTAGTCAGGTGAGTCTTGACCAGGGATACTTAGCCTAAATGACAGCTTTCAGCCTTTCAGCATTTGCTGTTCTTACTCATCTTTGCCAAGAGGGAACTCCAGTTGCAGCAGCAACAC